ACATAGTCAAAGTTAGTAGGGTTTGTCGGATAATAGAAGAAAAGGGGGGTCACGTGAACCCCATAAATTTCAAACAGGTAGGATAGAGTTGTACGGTCCATGCAAGCAACAGGCGCTGCATGCAGTTTATTTCATCCTTTGACTTTTACATTTTTTTTTTACCTTGACTTTCTCTAAATTCAGTTTGAATTTCAACCATTTTCATCACATATTCAAACCCAAAATGGGACAGCAGCTAATTAACTCCCGCCAGTTGCAACTGCTAGATACAAAACCATCGACGACGACTATTCTTTTTTCGAATATTATATATATGTTTTATTCATCCAACATTTCAACCATTCAACTAACTCCAAAAAAACGCACGTGCTGAAAACTTGGCACGAGGCACCTGTGGTCCTTTTTGAGGCTAATTGGGTCATGTGTGAGTTCATGGCAAGAGGCTAATTGTAAATGAAACTAAAACAGGGTGAGCTCCTATAATGTTTGTGGCTCGAGTGCCATATACAAAAAATAATTTTAAGACTATACAAAATGAGAGCAACAAAATAGCGAAACATTTGAAATACCAAAAAATGTTGTTCATTAAGAGGAAAGACTCTAATTTTTATGTAAGTAGTCACGCAATGTGCTTAATATATGCATTAGAGGAGGATTACCAACTGCAATCCTAAAATGACAGTTTTGAACATCAGTGTGAATATATAAAACATAATTAATTGGAATGTTGAACAGTAAACCAACCTTGAATACTAGCTACTAGCTAGCTAGATCACTTCTATTTTAACCAATTCCGCAAATAAGAATTTTTAAATGTACAATTCAAATGCATACCCTCCCCTTTGTTCAAAAAAAAAAAAAAAAATGCATACCGTCCCTTTCTCAAAAAATTAGAAGGATACAAAGACCTCTTGTAGTTCTGTTTTTAATCCGTAAATTAAATAAAAGCAAACAGATTTTGAAAAAAAGAAAAAAAAGAAGCAAGTACAGAAATTATATGCGAACAACTCAAATTCGTTGCATAAACTACGAAATCTAGTCTTCGTATTCATTCTCATTATTCACATCTCGTATTTTTGTTTCATTATTCTTATCTGAGATAATAATAAGGGAGACTTTGGATGCGGTCCTTAGTCATGAATATTCTTTGATTGAAACTTTGTTGGTTTTTTAATTTTTTATCGAGGTCCCTGAAATCAATGTGATAATTTCTCTATGTACATTAGTATATTTTTTAAATTAAAAATTAAAAATTTTAGTTGTTTATATAAATGAGATTTTAAATAAAAAAATCATAATTTATGGGATTAAAAATATTAAAATATAAATATACTATTGTATGTGTGTGTATATATATATATATAAACATATGTACATTCATCAAAATTAACCAAAAAAATTATTGTATCAAAACATGGGTACATTCTTCAAAATCACAAAAAAAAAAAAAAAAAAAAAAAAGATACTAGGCTTAATAACATTAGTAAATTTCTTCAATTAAACTTGACATGGATACATTTTAAAATCAAAGAAAAAAGAATGTACCCATATAAGTTTAAAAATGGATTAAAAAAATGAATAGATTTTATATATTAAAAAAAAGGGTACATTTTACATATGACAAATTGGTATATTTAAGAATGAGTACATTTTAAGATTAAAAAGTTTTACATGAATGGGTAAATATAATTAGCATGGGTACATTTAGCCAAAAATAAATAAATAAATAAATAAAATATATGTGTACAAATACAAATAAACTTTAAAAAATATGGGCACAAAAAGAAATTAATATATGGGTACAAATTAAAACTGAAAACAAAATTAGTACAAATTAAAAAAGAATTATAAATTGAAAATGGGTGCAAACTAAAACTAAAAATATATGATAAAAAATTTAGTCATAAATATAAATATACTATTTGTAACATTTTTAACATTAAATGAATATATTTAGAAATACAAAAAAAAAATTTATTGAAATAATTAATGATGTTATTAATACCCAAGGACCTTGATCAAAAATTAAAAAGGAATAGGATTTTAATTAATGAAATATCAAAAGAAATGATGAAAACCTAATTTCTCTATAGATTAAAAAAAAGGTGTTATGCATTGAATATTTCTTTTTTTGAGGTTAGATGTTTAAAGGATTGAGATCTTCGCCTGATCTCCTTTATGCAACCCTTAGAATCAACTAATACCGGCCGTTCATACAAGAAGTGCGCCCAGAATTGGATTTTAACTTTTTTAACATTTTCACATAAACGAGGCGGTCGACCTCTCCCTCTGTGCTCATCTCTCTGTTTTGTTGAAGGCTTGTACTGGATAGGGATTTTGGCTTCAAAACTATGTCCAATTCTAGCCGCATGATCTTGTATCAACGGCCAATATTAGCTGATTCCGAAGGTCAGCACAAAAGAAATTCGGAGGGGTTATCAGTACATAGTCAAAGTTAGTAGGGTTTGTCGGAAAATAGAAGAAAAGGGGGGGGTCACGTGAACCCCATAAAATTCAAACAGGTAGGATAGAGTTGTACGGTCCGTGCAAGCAACAGGCGCTGCATGCAGTTTATTGCATCCTTTGACTTTTACATTTTTTTTGACCTTGACTTTCTCTAAATTCAGTTTGAATTTCAACCATGTTCATCACATATTCAAACCCAAAATGGGGACAGCAGCTAATTAACTCCTGCCAGTTGCAACTGCTAGATACAAAACCATCGACGACGACTATTCTTTTTTCGAATATTATATATATGTTTTATTCATCCAACATTTCAACCATTCAACTATCTCCAATTTAGTCACATGTTTGTATCTTTAGTTTTCTATCGCCATGACCGTCTAAACAAATACTACTGCTTCATTCACTGGATGAAGCCTCTGCGAGTGCATGCAGTATCTGCTCTATTAAAATAAATAAGTTGTTTTCTTTTCTTTTATTATAGTCTTTAATTTATTAAGAACATTTTAGTATTTTTGGCTTGTAATAGTTAAAGTACATTAGTAATATTTAATTTTGTATTAATTATTTGTGTTTGTTTTATAACTTTTTCAGAATTATGACAACAAAATGTAACATCTTAAGTTTGGGTCCATCTTCTTGCAGTTTAGATTAGTCTAAAATAGAATATAGCTTGAATTTAAAAAAAAAAGAAAAAAGAAAAAGAAAAGCAATACTGCATTTCACAGTAGGGTTGGAGAGGTTGATCGGCCAAATATCATGCATCGTGGATTCTGTTAGGGTTGTAGAAATGCACTTGTAGCTTTTGCCTTTCGTCTCGAGCCATTTTATGACAAAGTATTAGAGTGCAAGACGAACAAGATTATAAAATAATAAGAATATTAATAAATAAACAAGAACGCCGAAACGGCTACAAAACTCAAAGAGACTACATTGTGATTAACTTACTTCTCAAACTAAATTACAAGCAATATTTATAGAGAACTAAACTTAAGAAATCCTAACTCGTTGAGCTAGGCCCAAAAATCCTAACTAACAAGCAAAACCTAAATGCTAATATTTCCCAAAAAGTAACAGGTAGCTATACTTGTATGTACGGTTTTATATGCAGTAAGCGTTGTAATACCATTTGAGACAAATGGGAGCGAGAGGAAGGAAGATGAAACCGCACTGATCTGAGCAAAGCTTCACCATGAGAAGAAAAATCTCCCTTTTTTCATATTTCCCTCATGTCTTCTTCTGTCGAAGAGTTCAAATGCAATGTCTGCACTCATCTGAGCAAAAGCTTCACCACTAAGATAACATATTATAACAACTCCAAAAAACGTACGTAATGAAAACTTGGCACGAGGCGCATATGGTCCTCTTTAAGGCTACTTGGGTCACGCGTGAATGCATGCCAAGAGGCTAATTAATGAAACTAAAACGGGGTGAGCTCCTATAATGTTTGTGGCTCGAGTACCCATATTCCAAAATAATTTTAAGACTACACAAAGTGAGAACAGCAAAATGGCGAAACATTTGAAATACCAAAAAATGATGTTCATTAATTAGAAATTCAAAACACTATCATTTAATTAGTGAGGGATAAAATAATAAGTTCAGAATATTTTGAATGCATTTATTTTTACACACGGTTGCTTCATTTCCTAAATCAAAATTTTAAATTAAAAACCTCAAAATATAATTTAACATAAAAAGACTAATTGTTAAAAGCATAAGCGTGACAAAAATTTAGTTACATACAAATTTTGAGGCTGAGCCCGGCTTGGCCTACAATGAGCTTCTACAATGTTAGCCCAATATCTCTTAAAACTAACTTTGACCCAGCCAGGGCACATAGGTATTGTCGTACTTAGAAAAAGCTTTTATGTTTCGTAAGGCCTTTCACAATAATTTACATGAGTTTGATAATTTGATTCGTATTATAAAAATTGTAACACTGGTGTGACTTTAAAAAGGATGAGTTTATATATTAAATGTAAGAACCCTCTACTTTTTATTTTTTCAAATTGTATGATTGGTCAATTCGTTTTTCAAGTGTTTTCCCAAGCCCCCGACACATTAAAAAATCTCTCCGTACCCATAAGTTAATATGATAAACTAAAAAATAAAGAAGCACTCTCATTACACTTAATTTTTTTTGCTATTGTAATTGTTTGATCCTTATATTATTAGTATCGCACTCAACTTTCTAACCCACTGTAAAAGGCTTTAAGTAAATGTTGGGGATGTTAAATGTTCATGCAAACGAATGGGAGATTGAGAGACATCGAAGGCTGTTAGATCCACGTTTGCCTAGTTTGCATTGGATTCAAAGATTGAACAGTTGTAAATCTCAACTGTTCTTAACTTACCATAAGAGAATGATCAAAAAAGCAATTTGACTGCATTTGACAGAAAAATGCAAAAGTTCTTTTGGGTTATAAAAGTGCTTCTTATTAGTGCTTTCCGCTTCATGAAGCACTCCAAGTGCTTTTTCAATAAGCACTTGAATTTTAATAAATTTTTTGACATACGACTAACAAAAGCACTTACAAGATAAAAGTGCTTCGCTGCAAAAGCACTCCTTAAAACGTTTTTAACCGAAGAACCAATAAGGAGCATTCCATATTTCCATGTATATAGACTTTCTAAATACACACGAAGCTTCGAAATGTCGCATAATCATGCTATACCACCATCCTTAAGAAATTGAGCATAAAACAATTAAGCACTATGGATAAATTTTGGCAGTGCTCCAGACATCACCCCCCACCCTCCACCCAGGCGCGGCCGCACTTGTTAATGTACCGGTGATCTTCTCCTGCGATATTTGAGTTTCATGAGATTAAATGGGAATGATTTCGGATGCAATACATACATTATACGGTAGACTGCCAAGTAGAGATGCTCATATTGTCAACCAGGTGATGGTAATTAACACACATGACTTTAGTTCACCGCGATTAATACAAAAATTAATTTTTGAAGGGGTGAAGGTATAATAACAACACATGATTAAGATGTTTGAATTTAATACCTCTTGGATCGGGTTCGATCTTCTTCATAGTCCATTAGTCCAGCTGTTTCACCAAACAGAATGTCATCAAAGGCTTGGAAGTCTCGCCCACCCTGCTTAAAGTTCACCCTATGCCAAGTAAGTAAAACAAGTTGAGCAATATATATTACAAGAAAATTTGTCTGTCTGCCTCTCTCTCTGTCTCTGTCTCTCTGTCTCTCTGATGCACACAGCTGTTTGAGTGAATTATTAACACACGTTTCAAATAACTTTGAAAATGTGAGTAGAATTGGCAAAACTAGTTCTAAAGTTGTTAACCTAAGGGCTATCTGCCCAATGATGTAAACCCTATGGCCTTATCGAAGTTCATGAAAAAGAATCCTTTATATTTGAGTTAACAGAGCTTCCAAGGCTCGTCCAAGTAGGAAACCCTATTTCTCATAGCTTTTGATACAGAGAAAACACAGAAACTGGGATTTGTGAAGGTAAACATTTTATGGTTTTGAAAATAAAAAGGTTTTAATTGCTTGCCCTCTTATTTGGAATATTTTCTGAATTTTGACATGCTGAAGCTGTATGAGTGTAACGTATCTCGGTCCTAGGCCCCTAGCATACTGGCAAGTTTGATAAAAGCTCTTCTATTCAAAACAAAAAGTAAATGTCTCCTTGATATAAAAAGGATAGTGGTAGTCCACAATCTGGAAACCAAAAACTTCACCACTACATACCCAGAGTCCAAAGGCATCTCATCTACCTTTTTTATCTTTTGGAAAAAGGAACAAAACAAACAACAAAAAGCCAAACAACCGAAAACTCCCAGACAAGCCAAATAATAGAGAAGGTAGTGTGACTAAACTCAGTAACCGAAGCCCAAAGAGCTGACAAAACTGCACTTTGTCCCGTAACTCCTTAACCCCCACTCCCACATAATGTTCAAAAGTCCTTCATATATCTTTCCAACCATACCACCCAAAGCACGGCCAGACCCAAGCACTCCCACATAAGCCTGGCATTTTTCCCTTTACAGAACATCTTATGACCACAGCAAAGAAAAGAGAAGCAATCCCTAGATGGTGCATCACAACTCAAAACAAAATTATGATTATATAGGTTGATGATGGATTCAACTTACCTTGTTATTGACAGACTTCTTGACTTCTTCCACCCTGTCGTTGACTGCCTTTTTGTGTATTGCATCCAACTCACACTTTTTATCTGCCCATTTGATCTTCTCTTCAATTGTGAGAAGCGCATTGTTTGTAGTGTCTAACCTGATAGTTTCAAATAATTGCTGTAAACATCCTACTAAAGTTTTACAGTACTCTTTTCTACATTAGGATAACTAAAAAGAACGTAATTTGGAACAGAAAAGGTCCAGGTAACAATTTGTTTATCATGATGTAAGCTTTGGAAAGGTTACAGGCAGTTTGATAACCATTTTGTTTTTAGTTTACAGTTTTCAAAAAAATGAAAATGGAAAAGTACTATTGAGTTTTCAAAACTTGGCCTTCAATGTTTTTTTTTTTTTTTTTTTAGAAAACTGCAAGTAGTTACCAAACAAGTTCTCGGTTCAGTTTGAAAAAATGAGAATAAAAACTAATCTGAAAATGAAATGGTTATCAAACAGCCCCTTAGTAATGCATGGATCAACTAACATTATAATGACGCCTTGATGTATAACTTCTCTTCAAGAGAGGGGGAGACACGCAGGTTAGGGTGCATATAGGATGGTTAGTAAAATTACTTGTACCACCATCCTGGGGCACAAATTTTAAAAACAAAACCCTACTAGATCAAGATTGATTTCTGTCTAACTTCCATTAGGCAATGCATAGGTAAGAAGGTACCTAACATGACAAATAGGACTTGTCTTGGAGAGGGAATTATAAGAAGAATAGCGTTTCCACACTCCCATTTTATCCATTTGCGCTCCTTTCTCTTATTTCTATGCTTTATTTGAATAAATCCAACGAGAATGAATACATAAAATTAAGGGGAGAGTGCAAATACACAAAATGAGAGTGGGAAAGAAAGACCTCAATCATAAAGTGACCAACTAAATACAGAAACATGCATACCAATCATCTAAAGTCTGTATAAGATTCCCTAGTTGTCCAGGTCTCAAATCCCTCCCAGCTGCAAATTGAACCTGGAAATTAAATGATGGTCAAGATAAAACACTGAAATCAAAACATACATCCAGGAAATCATCAAAAGAGTCAAATGTAATAGTCAAGGCAGCATATCCAACCTCAAAAGATCTTCTCAAATGATCCAACTTCCCTTTGACTATGCCCTATACATAAGACAATGAAAAATTAGCCTTTTCAGCTTGCAACCTTTTCAGTATTTCCTTATTACAGGCTTGAAAGAAATCATCCCATAAATGAGAACACATATATTCCAAATCTTTTAAAAGCGACGGAATTTATGACATTTTTTCTCATTAACGAATAGGGGGCACATACCGCATACATGCAATCATTGATAAGAAAGTCTTCAAGTTCACGCACATTTGAAAGATCAAGCTGTTCAAGAAGTTGATCATATGATAAAACCTGGGAAAAACAGAAAAATTTAGAAACTGCAGTTGCATTCATACCTAACAAGTACCAACTCAGAAGGCCCATATCTCCACGGTATATTATACCATGATCAGGAATTTAGGGGTAGGGAAAGGGTATTCATTGGATATTCAAGATGAAAAGACAGGATACTCATCATGGTATTTGTTTGGATAAGACAATTTTGTTAATTAGTAAGAAAGAAAAGCTACAACTGCAAGCATCATGTTAATAAGTTTATCACAATTAGTCTAACTATCAAGTATCAACAAAAAAAAAAAAACCCACTTCACTCAATTCAAACACCAACCCCCCTTCCCTTTAATAAGCAAAATGGAAATAGAGAAGCTGGAAACTAATTCTATCCCAAAAAGAATTAAACAACCTATTTCTTTCTGACCAAATACAAAAAGAAGCCCACACCAACTACAAGCATCATGGTAATAAGTTTATCACAATTAGTCTAACTATCAAGTATCATAATACTAAGGATTCGACGTAAGATAGGAGTGCCGGCTGTCAACTACCTAACGCCCTCCCCCTCTTCCTTTATCCGGGCTTGGGACCGGCAATGTGAGATAAACTTACACAGGCGGAGTTCTAACCATCAAGTATCAACAAAAAAAAAAAAAAAAAAATCCCACTTCACTCAATTCAAACACCAACCCCCCCTTTAAAATCAAAATGGAAATACAGAAGCTGGAAACTAATTTTATCCCAAAAAGAATTAAACAACCTACTTCTTTCTGACCAAATACAAAAGAAGCCCACACCACCAAAGGATAAAGTGATTTTCCTAATGCCAACCTAGTCTCCACCAGCAAGAAGTAGCAGTTCCCATGTCAAATCAAACCCACACCAGTCTAAAATAATTTAAAGATAATTGAATAAATGTGAAGCTAAATATATATGTCTTACTCCTTTCTCCAATTTTAGGCAACAAACACCCAGATGTTTTGGCAAACTGTGTTTGCTTTTATAACCTAATCCACCCAATTTTCTCCAGGAAATAAATAGGGGGAAATAAAAAATTTCCAAATCTCTTCCCTTTTCTTTAAAGAAGTCTAGTAACCTTTACAAGTGTTCATTTTTAGTTTAGTGTCTAGTTTGCTTTCATACTTATTGTGTGAGTAATTTTTGGGATGCAAAAAATATGTTCATAAGTAGCCACAATTTCTTCTGAGCCTCCTTCCTCCCCTTTTTATCCCCAATCTCTAAATCTTTTGCTATTTTCATCTAATGTAAATTCTAAACTACATTAATATAAAAATTCTAGCCTTAATTAGGTCTCAAAATGTCAAAAGCAAGCTTTTTACCACCTAGGCAAAACAAGACCTTGAGAATCTCATATGAATATTGATTTGAGAAGTACACGAACTAAAGCACTATCACCCACCAAAACCCCTATATTCTATGCATGGAAAAATGAAGTGGCTTTCTTTCCTGGCACAAAGGTGAAATAATTTGACCAAAGTAGGAACTTTAAGAGATATATTAAACTGCATTACTGTAAGTACCATATTCCAATAAGGGACTAACCGGAAATTTCAAGTAAGGTATACCAGACTACAACAATAAAAAAAGGTCAAACTATTACAGTATGATATCAAGCTAATCGTTATACCCGGTTCATCTCAGCTAGAGAAAGCACAGTAAGTTGCTTCAGCTTGGTGATTTGATCTGGGACTAGTGGTGGAAGAAGGCTAGCATTACCTGCCACTCATTCAGTCATTAAATTGCACTCATACGTATGTTAAACAAGGAGTATAAATTTCAAGTGCCACTGCCAATGTCATAATCCAATCAAACAACCAACAAAATGACTATGAGTGATCAAAGATCTTATGGCTCCTTAAACAACTTCTTGTCCAATACAGATAGATACTTTATGAAGCAGTAGTAACATAAGTAGACCTGACAATTTCACATTATTAGATCCCGAACAGTAAATGTTAAGCTTCCTTACACATTGAGCACTAATGCAAGGCAGCAATGGCTTGACATAATACTGTTGATTGTCCATACACTGTTGTACAAGAAGTACACAATGAACAAGAGGAAAACTTCCAGTTTTTGCAGGTAACATTTGTCAATATATGTATACCAAGATGGCTCCTAGAACAAGCAGGTATTTTACTTATTACGATGTTGTATAACCTATTGCAAGTAACTTTGCTATTAATTGAAAGAATTTCATCATTGCCTTCCCAAACTATTAAAGACAATCGATTCAAAGTTCAGAAACTCTGCCTTTTGAAACTTGATAGCCGTAAAACCTTTTGTCTTCAAGTCATATGAAAGAAGGCATGCTATTTTGGAACAGAGTGCTAGGTAGTTAAAGAAAAAAAGATATTCATAAAATGATTGTGGCTTAAATAAGAATGTCGAGATAGATGTGTGGTTCTACAGAAAGTGATAGATTCCAAAATTACCACACACACAATTCACTCAAATTGGAGAAAAATGAAATAAAACAGGCTTTGAGGGTTTGGACAGTTCAACTAAGGTTAAAGATTTTACCTGTTCAAACTACTGGTTAATCAGCATTGACAGTAGTATTACAGTAAGAGGACAGAAAATAAAATGGATAGGGATAATTAGGAAATATATAACAGCATGTGACTCAAAATAAAAATAAGCCCTGGTGGGATAAAATGGAGGAGCATGATTAGTTGGGACAAGGCCCTAAACCATTGAGGTTTATATCAGACCTGCCATAGGGAAAATGTATCAATGTTACCCCTTTCATTTCCAAAACTGTGACGCTTTTGACAGCATATGCAAGCATACCAAAACATGTCTATCAATCACTGATCACCTTTTATTTTAAACTAATACTGGAGAATCCTTGATAGATCAGAGAATCTGGAAAACTGTAAAACCTTTGGTATCTAGTCCCAACATCTAACTTTTTCAAACAACAAAAAACATCCTAATGTATCTAGTTGGTAAAATGAAAAAAAGTTACTATAACTGAAGGACCAATAGAAGTACAGAATGTCTCCCCTTATAGGTAGTGCAAAGGAGTTTGTGCAGAACGTTTCTTACTCTTATAGTCACTCCATGTTCCATGAGCAAAGAGACGAAGTAGATCAATGTATACAGCATATCCCGTTCCTTGAAGCTGCATTGAAACACATTATGAGAATCGAAACATAATACACGTCAAGAATCTAACAATACCATGTTAGGGAATAAAGGAGAGGTGATTGTTAGGAATCATGAACCCATCATTAAACTTCACTGCACTAATAAATAAAGAAAATAAATTGGGATGGAATGCTTTGCCCCTCATTTCACCTTTTGGAGTTCCACTAGACAAAATTTATCAATTAACCCAAATCATTATAAAGAATATAATGGCTTGGGTACTCCATATCCACTAATTAATACTTAAGTCATGATCAGGATACAGTAGAAGCAAGTTTTCATACTAGGGTCTGTAAGCAGTAAGCACAAAGTCACCTTAGCTCATCAAAGACAAAATGTACAAGAATCCAATTTCAACGCGGGATTAATAGTTAATAAGTGATCTCTTTGGGCTCTGATGGGTATCCATATTTTCCATATTTAACCAAGCATACATCGTACCGATCAGATATACAATTAACATTCCTTTTGTTTTAAATCTTTCATAACCCCTTCTACTTTTGATATCAACATAAAACACAAATTGTAATGGAAATATTCTAAATTGGTACTAAAACCCACAGTCTTCTATTGGGATCATACACTAAAAACCAAACACAAATTTATAACTTTGCATAAAACCCAAATGAGAACACTAATTTCCTACAAAAATACAGAATCTGAAGAATACCCAGAACCCAAAAGCAAAATTTTTATCCCAAATTGCATCAGGCAAGCAAAGAACACGAAAGGACTGACCTCGAGCACATTGGGGACAGCCAAAATCTCGGAGAAAACGAAGAGAGAAGAATGAGAGGTGAGTTGGACTATGAGGCTGACGAGAGAGGACCCCTGGAGACTAGAGGCTTGCTTCACGAAGTGCTCGATCACCTGGGCTTGCTTCTGCTCTACCTCCATTGAAAACCCTCTTTGAGAACACAGGAAAAACCCGGATTTTGGTGGAAAGGGAGAACTAAAATTAGTAGAGAGAGAGAGAGAGAGAGAGAGAGAGAGGTTGAAAGACGAATTAAGGGATGAATTTTGGTGGGTTTTGGCGGTGGGAATTTTGGTTTCTGCAAATTTGATATTTATATTCTTTTGTTTTGGGCGAAATTTATAGTAACGATTCTAACTTTCTATCAGGGATGTGTGTTTTAGGACAAGAGATCATCTCGGATATTTTCCTCTATTAATCAAGTGATTCGGGACCTTTAAAATTTGATCTAACAGTTAAAAATTATTATAATTTTTAAAGTTTTTACTAACTTTTCTGTTTTTAGCCGTTGGATCAAATTTCAAAGGTCCGGATCATTTGATCCTTGAGCTTTGAAGTAAGAGATCTGGAGAGGATATCTTTCCATGTTTTAGTGGGTCTACCAATCCATATGAGTCGGGTCGGGTTAGGTTGAGCTATATAGCAGTCATATGGTTCGGGTCACCGAATGATAATATTTTTTTTTTAATAAACGATATTATTTACACTAAATGAAAGAGGGTGAGTTTAACTTTACAATAAGTTAGTAATAATATGATTCAAATTCAATAGTTTTTTTTTTTTTAGCAAAAATTCAATAGTTCTTAAACATTCATGTTTTTAATACATAATTTTTAATAACTTTTAAATGCGCATGTTTATTAATACTTAATTTGAATAATGAAATTCATATATTAAGTAACATGTTCAAAAGGCGAAAAATCATAATTGCACGTTAGGAAAGTTTTGAGTGGGTTAAGAGCATCTCTAATGCGAGTCTCAAAACAAAAACGCTTATCACCACATTTGAGGACTCATTTAGGGACTTCAAGAGAATATTCGGGTCACTAAAGGATTATTACATTCAATTGAGAGGTCCTTATAATATAATCCCTAAATGTAGGGACTAAAATATCAAAAAATTATTGTTCATTTCATTAGAGTATTGTGGTCGTTGATAAAAATCAAAAGGCTAATGGTTAAAAAAAAAAAAGGGAAGCTACAGGAATGGTTATTAGCATTCACATAGTGGGTTCAAAAAACAAGAAAAAAATCAAAATGAGAAGCTGTTGTACAGCATTCACTTGTGGGTGGCGTTTGTTTCACACTCAAATTAACAGTGGAGCCCATTCTTTGAGTCTCATAATGTCCTCACATTTGGGGATTTGTTTGAGATATACAGCTAGTCTCTTTTAAGGACTTTTATTTTGGCCCATTGGAAGCCCTTTGTCCTAATATTTTAGACTATACTCAAAAACCCAAGTATCAAATCATGTTGTGCATGTTGTTGTTGAGTTGAAATCGAAGATTTTAACCCCCGGTTTATTCTCTGTGTTTGGTTTCCAGTTTTCAGCAAAGAATTTGGCCGTTTTCCAACGAGTTCGAAGTGAACCTAGAAGTAAAACATTTTGGTTTAGGGTTTGGTAAGCGTTTTACAGCTTTTTATGAAGATTTGGTTGAGAAACACGAGAAAATGATCTAATTTGGAGCTTTGAAACGATTTCTGGAAATTCTACAGAATCTGGTGAAGATTCTGGTGACGAAGCATGGCGGCCATTAGCATACTTAGTGGTTGCATCGGCACAATCCTTTAATTCTAATGGTTGTGCTTGCCTCACCAATGAGTAAGCGCAACACTGCTTAACATATGACAGCACCAGGTGACGACTGTCATTGCAGTTGTATAGTTGGCCAGTGACAACAGCAACAATGTACTGACGGTGATGGAGGTGTGTTCGTTGGCTACAATAGCGTGTACACTGACAACTAGGTGGTGTGAGACCGTCTGTATGGTGGCACATGAACCCGAGACCTAACCTAAGATTTTTCGACGTCCTGAATCACATGGTGCACTACGATTTCACTAATAGAGGCATTTGACACATATAACACCTTATTTCCGTATTTCAATTTAAAGATACCTTTTGGGACCAAATTGGAGTTGATTTGGTCGGTCAAAAGTCTGATTTTCTGAGAAGTCATATTTCAATTTAAATAGGAAACCTTTTATTTCCTAATTATTTTATTCTATTATGTTTCCTAGTTTTTAGAAGACCTTTTCGAGCTAGGATTTTATTTTATAGTCGTATAAATAAGGCTTTTTAGCCATTAGGAATGGGGCATCAATTTAGAGAACTTAGCTAGGCTTTGACGTTTTGTAGTTCAAGGTGTTTTCTATCCTTTTTCTATTTCAATAAAATTCTTTTCGTTTTATGGTTGTTCGTAACTAATTCTATTTATTAGGGTGATGCCTTGAGTCTTAGTATGAATATGTAGTTTTTATTTAATTGCTTATGATATTATGCATGCATACTTTGAATTATTAATCACTGTGTTTAAAATGTCTCTATATCTTAATGTTTAGCTAACATTAAGATGTTTAGATAAGTCATTGGATGCAATTTGGTAGGAATACCACCAGAGGATTAAGTATTGCTTCTTGTGATTGATAGTTGTAATTTCACCTAGAGGTCTTAGGGGTTGCATGGTTTTTCAAGGGTTTTCACAAATCGTAATGAGTCATGCATGTTTATATTTGATCTGAATACCCTAAACGGATTGCATATTTGATATATGCTCTAGCTTGAATACCATGAGTAGAATATGCATTAGGAAAACCAACCTTCAAAGTTGCATGGGTAATTCATAAGTAATTGGTAAATATACATAGGATTATTAAGGGATGACGGAACCTAGGCTTTTACAATTTGGTTTTCAAAATGTTTTCCTTTGTTTTCTCTACTTTGCTAATTTCTTTAATCATTTTAATTAAATTCGTTTTTATTATTTTTAAATTCAAAATCAACTTTTTCCAATCTCTGTTTCAAATAATTAACTAAGATTTTGGTTTTGCATAAATTGTTTTAAATAATCCATGCGGAGAACGATCTTGCTTGAACTGCTATACTACGATAACCTTGTACTCTTGCAAGTATTTTTAAGTATTTTTATCCCTATATTTGCGGGTGGTAAAAATCCCTAGCATGAGCATGCCTTGATATTGGTCTTAGATGAGACTAAATTTTAGATTGCGATGATTAGATGACATTTAAATGATGTGCGTTTATATTGTGATTTATTTTCACCACATTATGTATTATACATAGAGGATAGTTTAGCTTCAGCCATTGGATGTTTGCATGTGTTATATTTTCTAAAAGATGCTAGATTCACTAGTAGACGCTAGTGTGATAGATAGGCTACATTACACAAGCAGACGCCCATGTACACACACGTGTATGTATTCTCACTAGTAGATATTAGAAATGTACTGCAGTTCCTCATGTATGATTTTTTATTGTGACTGGCATGTATTTTTCAACTATATATATATATATATATATATATATGTGAATGTAGTAGATACTAGTATATAGGTCTTTCTAAAACAGGGGTTAGTATGTTATGAAAGGATTTCGACTTGATAATTGATATGATTTGTTCACACTTTGTTTTTCGCCCATAAGGACCTAGTAGGATGAAAGTACCAGCTTGTGACGGTGAGTGAGCTTGGCAATAGTACATCTCTCCTACGTAGTGTTCTCTGTCTTTTTTCTTAGTTGCATTAATAAATAACCAAATTTACGGTTATACTTGCACATCACATGATTACTTGCTTATATCGTTGCTTGACTAATTCTAAACTTATGTGACATGGAATAAAAGGGTTGAACCCTTGGTATGACCGTCGGGGAAGTTGAGTTTTAATTGCGTTTACTTGCAAGATTTATTTTGAATTATTGTATTTGTAGGGGAGATTCTGCAAATTTTTAGTAAAATTGAACCAAAACATTTTAATTGTCACGTACCGGTTACCTTATTTATGGCTTCGTCACCACACAGTATTGGCCAATGAAGTCTAACTCATAGTCAACATGGGGTCGGAGTGTGTCAATAAGATTTCACATTTATGCGATTATCAAGCTTGTTTACGAGTCTTCAGAGGCCATTATCATCAACTCTAAACAAATCACAATTTCACGCGTGCATAATCAACTTGTTTATGCATGTCAAGACTTTGTGATTTACAGATAAGGATGAATTTTAATTTTTTTTACAAGGAAGGAGCCAAGCAATGTTCTTCCGACGACAACGATCTAATCTACTAACGCTTGCATCGTGGAGCTCGGTGGGTCCACGGATCATGGGAAGTGCTGCCATAGAAAATGCAGATGTAACCAGCCAACTTGCGCTGCCTTCCAAAACAGAGAGACACATCTTCTCCCAGAAACCGGATAAACATAACAATGGAATTGTAGGGTAGTATAGGTGTCGAGCAAACGCATACTTCTTCACATGCAAATGTTCTGAAGATAAACACGAAACACGTGACATACGCCTCTCCTCACGTGACTCACCACCCTTCATATACGCCCTTCCCTCCCAACCAGCAAGCTCCTCAACGAAACGAGAGTATCATCAAATTCAATGGCTCGAAATCCAGAAAACCTCTCCTATCAATTGGCCAAGGCCTCCACTGCCATAACCTTTTCCGGGTCCCTCTCCGTCCTCTCCAGTTTGACACTCACTGCTGTTGTTATGGGTTTGGTGGCAGCAACACCGTTGCTGGTGATCATCAGCCCGGTGTTGGTACCAGCAGGAGTTGCAATGCTTCTGCTGAATACCGGGCTTGTTATGTCGGGAGGGTTTGGGGCAACAGCAGCGATGGTGTTTTACTGGGTTTACAACAATGTGACAGGACAGCACCCTGTTGGTGCTGACAAACTGGATCAGCTGGCTTCAACATTGGCGAGCGGGGTTAGAAGCATCAAGAACCGACATGAAGAGCGCCTAGGAAGCACATCAGCAACGATACACAGGGTGCACAATGATATCATCAAACAGATATTAACACAGCAATGGTTGCTTCATGGCCAAGAAACAACTACCATGTAATCTTTGTTCACTGTCAGCTCTTATTTGTGTTAGTTCCATACCAATCTGTGAGGATCAGTTTTCAATGCGGTTTTCTATGCGGTAATACATTCGAAATATGCTGAGCACGCCGCTGCAAATGATCATAAAACCTAATAATCTAGCATGCCATCACACCGTTGCAAAAGATACATTTCACGCCTAACAATCAAACATACTCAGTTTGGTTTTGGTTTCAAAATTCCAATCCATCTATCATACACACTTGTTTCTTTTTCCGGGATCATCAGCACTACATGAATAAAGCAAAAACATAACTCTATTCATATTCCCCACAGGCTTGTTCAGTGCACCACAACGTTATAATCGAAAACGTTTACGACCAGTTTAACGCAAGTTGAGGAAGCTTATGCTAAAGATGCCAGCACACATGTTAACCGGGAAAAGGATAAAGATGCGTACATCAAGTGCTACCACTGCACTTTTGACCGCTTATGAAGGACATGGATGCATTCCAACTTAAGAAAACCCACCAGATTTCTTCGAAATTGCAATCACATTGAAGTTGAGGGAGTCGGGATTTTTCTGGATCATGCCCTGTATGACTTTAGCTGCATCCTGTTATGCAATCAAAAGGTCATCAGATGGGCGATGCACATAAAGACTCGGGTAAAGGCCAACACGTTCCCACTTGAAATGAGCCAAAATAAACATGAGAATAGCTAATTGAACTATTATGATTGAATTTTCCAAAATACACGCACGTTAACTTTAAATCAGTTCAAAACAGTTTTAGTTATAGTTTCCTCTCTCCCTCGAAACTTCATCCATTTAATCTTTAGGATATTATGCCTCTTCCCTCTCTTTACTTAACCAAAAAAAGAAAAGGTTACTAAATGGACAGTTAAACTTTTGATATGTTTAGGCATTGATTGTGTGTTGTTCCTCTAATTTTGAATCAGAAAGCACAATGACATCTTAAATACCTGCAATAGACTGTTTGGTGAAGATGGACCATGAGAGATTGGACCTGACTTCCTCCCATCAAGCTCATAAAGCTCCCCTACATATTAAACAAAAGATCGAAATCACAAACCGTGCAGTAGGGTAAGTAAATCTTCAAGAACCATCTCTGAACAGATATAGAAGAAGCGCTTACCGTCCACGCATGCAAAGCAAATAAAGTGAGTGTCTGCATTGTCGGACGCCTACAAAGAAACAGAGTAAGACATGTGAAGCACAAACCATCTGACCCAAACAGAGAAAAGTGGAGAGATTGGTACTTTACATAATATTCTATGCTACTTAAAATATATCACCTCTGTATCACCACCATTGGCTGCTACAGAATGAGCAACTTCCACTTCTGTGTCACTTTCAAGGAATGCTGCACGCTACATTTGTATGACAAATAGATGACAATAAGAGGCAAGAAGAATAATATGAATCTATATGAATTGGTCAAGCTGAAAGGACAAAATATGAGGGAAAAGAAAATAGAACCTGCATTGGATCCATGCTTGCAGTTTTTTTGAAAAACCTATCCAAAAACGAATCCTCAACTGAAAAGAGAAAGAGGATAACATGGGAAAAATAACTGTGATAAACATTTATTAATAAATAGTAAGCAATTGTCAGAAAGAAAATAAATCATTAATTTTGGCTTCTACGGGGAAGCATGTTTTCCAAGGTTGCGTACATGAACAAAATCAAGCTTCAATTCCTCCAAAGGAGTTACTTAAGGGAACAGTTTTGGTATCTAGAACTCTCTAGTTTCGCAATTCTGTATCCCTAATTTCCACAGCTAGGTGTTCCACAAACATGCACTGTCCTAGTTAGAAACTAGAATGGCATACACTTTGGTAGTAATAACCAAGAAACTCCTTTCCAATGGTATGCTATTTTCCCCAGGTATTCTATATTCTTAATTATCATTTTACTTCTATGGATCCAATTGTTCCTGCAATTGTTTGGCATTTTCAAAAGCAGGGTGATCAAACGTTGTTAGGTAAGAGAAAGAGGAATATGAGAGAAAAAAGAGTTAAAGGAACCATTGGCCCTAAAGAATTTTCAACAAACCCCTCCTCCTCTCTCTCTCATCTCTCTCTCTCACACACACACACACACTCTTTTCCTGGTCAAGGGGGAGAATCCAAAAGAGACCAAGATTTGCTAGCAGCCACTCAAAAAACACGGCACTCTAAATCACTAGCAGTTATTAATACTTGTGTGTAATACATACAACCGCAAGTATGGAGAACGCAAGGCTGCCATGAATAACTCTAACCATAACTCACCCATAACAGGAAAACAGTAAACAACTTACCAAGTTTGATCTCTGAATTGATGTTTCCAACAGCATGAAGAAGCCCAATTGTTCCACAAGCATTGCCCACAGTTTGTTTCATAAAATAAACATTACCTTTGGGTTCCTACAGCCAGGATATGCATTCCGAATCATTCTAATTAAATCATACCACTTCAAATCAAATCAAGTCATAATGAATTTGAATACAAAATTCTCTTTTGATCAGTAAATTAGAAACACCAAACAAAAAAAACAGGTATGCAAGAAGTAAATAAAACGAATTAACACAATCGAAAATAAGTGAGCAAGGTATGAAAACATAAAACACAAAACATGGTTGAATGTGAACATAAATTTCAATACAGAACTGATCTCTCAAAAGTTACTATCATCGCATGAATATGCACATGCGCGCCATCCACATATATGCACAGAGAGATCACAAGTCCAACAACCCACTCAAAAATAAAAGGCTTTCATTTTATACAGAGCATCCAATCAAATTTCCTATCACTCACCTGTTTTTCATTTGCCTGCATCATTCTCTCTTCTTCAGTCTGAAAAGTACAGAAACATTGCTCAAATCAGGAGACAACCAAATTTCATAATGTCCAAAAGAAAGACAGATGCAGAGAACTTAAGTTCCACACCAACCTACAAAGTTCGGAATTATTAATTTGTATTTCAAGGAAAGAGACAAAACCTTAGTGGTTATAGGATAAAGAAACAGGACAGCAAGTACAGGCTTCGGAACCATATCTAAGAGTTCTCCATCCAATCCGTAAACATCATAGCATTCTGCCTCATCCTCTTGAAGACCCAGGCCCCAAAGGAACTGCAATGACCAAATATGTTTCTTTCATTTGATTTGGTATTTTGCACAATGAGGTAAAACCATTATAAGGTTCAATGGTGCAAATGGTGCTCTTCTTGAGTATATCACCTTTGTGAAAATTATAAATCTAATTTGCAACATAACATACAAACAAGAGTACATGTAATCAAAATGACGAAAGGATAGGCTAAACATTTTTCCGCTTCTCTTCAGTGCAAAATGATTTTCGCTACTCATTACGTTTTAATTTTGAAAACCAAATTCTTGTTTAGCTTTCTATCAAAAGCAAATGTTTAGTTATTATTCACTAATTGGGTCTCCCTAACGCTAAAAATTTTGGTATAAATGAAACCGATACGTACTTTATCATCTCTTTGCCAACTGCTTTCCCCTACAGCAACTAAGCAGATTCTCCGTGAGTGGTTTACATTCATTTCTAATTATTACCCAGATCCAAACAAGCTTAATCACATACTCGAACCCAATTTCCAGAAGAATCAAAACGTTCCATTTTCCACATCAAATTCGCACCAAACCCTAGCTCTGCGTTTTCTCGGAAAACAAACAGAGCATAATCCGAAGAATACAAAATAAGTACGGGTAATTTAATTTTTTCTTGAAAAGGAAGGCGATTGATTGAAGTACCTGATTCATAACATCAGGGTTAGCTTCGAGAGGAAGCCATCTCTTAGCCGATGGGGTTTCGTCCGAAGCAGCCATGGCTTTTGCTCTCTCTCTCTCTCTCTCTCTTTGTACGATTCGATTTTAGATTCTTTGTGCCTTTTCGTTTGGTGAGGTTTCTAGCTGGAAAATCTGGGATTTTGTGAAATGCTCTTCCGGGTTTTATATATAGGTTTTGGGCGGTGGGTTTTCCATTTTACAATGTGTTTTGAAATATGAAAGTATGTTGGTGAAATTAATTATGGATTTCAAAGTAATTTAAGTATGTTTTAGAAGAAGCATCATATATGTGCTTTTTGCATGAAACACTTAAAGGTTTTTTCAAGATCTCGTTCAATTTTTACTAAGGACTGATTTCAAAAAGATTTTATTCAAAAGCGTTTTTAGTCATTTTAAAAACACTTCCAAATGAGTCATTGATCAACTCACCTCAGGCCTTACTCTGAGCAAGTCCCCATTTCAAGGCCCATAGATGCCACTTATTGTTCGTTTAAGTAACCGTAATCAAAATAAGATGAATTGAATTGAGAAAGAGTTTAAATGAAGAGGAATCAGAATTGGATTCATGTTGAAGCTATTTAATTAAATATTCTAAAATCGAAGTATGAATGAAATTAAGTTCATATAAGTTGTTTACTAATTCCCCTAAATCAGAATAAAAATTAATATAATTACTAAAATGTTCTTATTCTTTTTGTTTTATTTCATCTTATATTAAAATGCCCTCATCCACCTCCTCAGCACCACCATGTCTTATTATTTTTAACCTCAATCCTCCAATCACCACTCTCCAAGTTCTGAAATCATAATCAAATTTTCTTTGAACCAAAATAAATAAATAAATAAAAACAATACAAAAATTCAAAAATCAAAAGCTCTAGTTTGAATATAACTTGATCAATCGTGTTATACTGTTATTGTGAAAGGAAGAAAAATAGAAGGAAATGACTTCTGGCAACATCGGAAAAGGGAAAATACAACGCCGTCAAACAGTCAGTGCTTAGTGTTGAATGGCAGATTGAAATTTTAAAAATAAGAAAGAGGGCATAATAGGAAGAAAACTTGCATTCCCGAGTCTCTCATCCTCATGGAATTCAAATACCTCATCAATATAAGGAGTCCAATTCCACCACCTTTAGGAATTGAATCCCTTATTTCGTGTGGACTCCACCACTTTCTTTATTCTTTCAAAGTTAGTAAACGCTTGAATACTCCGTAATCGGAATCATATTTCTTATATTTATTCTTATTACGGATACCTAAACACGTCATTAATATATTTGTGTATGGATTTATGCTTTAACCCCAATGGTAGGAAGAAGGCCAGTTCAAATCTAGTAAATTAAAAGTTCAAAACCAATTTATTTCTTTATCTATCTGTATCTCGTTATATAAAAATATAAAAATTGAATATGACCTTTAGTTCAAGTGGTTAAGCCTATTGTCATTACATCTAGTATTATACGCTCGATTCTTCTCCCTCCCCCATTTGCTTGAATAAAAATGATTATAAATTGTTCTTTTTTGAATTTTAGATTTGTAATGGGTCGGGCGTTGCTCATGTGGTCTTGAGGGCTATTGGAACAATGGTTGAGGAGTGTCGTGTCGAAGGCGCCTCGAAAGAATATTCTTGAATAAAGAGGTTAAAGGTCCTTACGAAGTTTTCTCTGGTGCACATTTAAGTACATACATGAACAAAAGTCATTAGTTTTCGACTAAAATAGAACAAGAGTCGTTAGATCATTTAACTTAATAGGATCTAATGACTTTTGTTCAGATGTATAACTTAAAATTTTATTTTTAATGTGCACTGAAGAAAATTCAAGGTCGTAATGTGTTAAAAAAAATGGTAGTTTTAAGTGCTATCGTATGAGGAAAAAAAAAAACAATTCCTTTTTTAGAGAGAGGACTAAGGTAAAACCTATTTCACGCCTAGTCAATCAATCTACTCCTTTTTTTGGTCGAAAGCAAACAATTTCATTGAAAGGCAGTGGCACAAAACTAAGACCCAGTTTGGGGTTGAGGCTGGTTTGGTATTGCTGTGTTTTGAAAAAAAACTGCTTCTGTTGTGTTGTGAGAATAAACGGCTGTAAAATAAAGTAGCAGAGTGTTTGGTAAACTTTTTTGTAAAAGTGCTTTTGGAAGAAAAAGAAAAAAAAAAAAAAAGCAGTATGATGGTGTTTAGTAAACTTTTATGTAAAACAGCTGTGATTGTGTGAAATGACCAAAAATGGTATAATACTAGATATGCTATTAATTTAATTTTTTAACAAATAAAGATGAATTACTAAATATACTTTATTTTTAAAAGAAAAATATTTATAAAATTTATCTTAAATATTAATTAGTATGACAAACTACATCAATTGAAATATTTTAGACTGAATAGCTAGGATTCATTAGTACAATATTGTTAATGTACTTGAAGGTAGTCTAATTAGAGACATTCATCAAACTTGCCGCTATTCTATTTCTTAATGTCTCTGTTTCATGTGATCCTTCAACTTCATAATTTTGGTATTCTTCATCATCATCACTACTATCGCTCTCTTCACAAAAGTTCCTGAGGTCATCAAAATGACAATCATGTTCATAATACCTCTATATGTAGTTATGAGAGCCATTGTAGCAATGACGATCTTCACTTGCTTATTGAACAGGTAATTAGTCATATCCCTTAAAATTGCCCATCTTTTCTTCCATACTCCAAATGTTCGTTCAATGATGCTCCTAAGAGAAGAATGCATGTGGTTGAATACCTCTTTATAACTCGTTGGTTCGGCACCCCTATGAAAATCTGGGAGATGATATCTTTCACCTTTATATGGCCCCAAATGACCTCTCATTTGTGGGTACCCTGCATCTACCAAATAATATTTTCTTGACAATTGCAAATTTTGTTTTGTATTGTAGTAATTATACAAAGCAAGTACGTAAAATGTTATAATAATACAAAGCAAGTATGAATATTGCTATTTGGAGGCTTAGAAAAGTTTAAATTTAGATTCCGTAGCATGGATAGAAAAACCCTTGTATCATGTGCAATGCGTTCCCATCCAGCACAAGTAAATGTGAATTGCATGTTAAAATTACATGCAGCCATAACATTTTGAGTCAGTATTCCTTTCCTACTAATGTATGGAACTTGATCCGGAGGTGGTATTGAAGCCTCAACGTGTACTCCATCTATAGCACCAATACAATCCTAAAAACAATGACATAGAAGAAAATCGTCAGCCTACACTTCTAGTTGCAAATAAGTTAGAAGACGAGTCAAACTTTACCTTAAAATAAGGCATGTATTTTGTATCTCTCTTTATTTCTTGGGGAATGCCACGAAACTCCGAATCCATCGGTTTGATAATATCTATTGTCATCTTACATACGATATCCAACATAGCATCAAAATATCTACTAACAGTTTCACCAGCATGTTGAAATCTCTCTTGCGCTAATCTATTTTTCACACCATGTTCCAACATATGCAAGAACATTCCTAATATTTCAATTGCACTCATTCTCCTTGAACCTTTCAATCCATAATTAGTTTGCAAGTCATTGGATAATCTATAAAAGACATCTTTGTTCATTCTAAACATTCTATAGCATCGCACATGATTTCCTTGTAGTACTTCCATCAACCAAATATTAGATGTTTGGGAAGAATTCATACACGGAGCTTTGTGGACATATTTTAAATAATATGTTTCAATAGCTTCTACAACGCATATAATTAGACTATCCTCCAAATCCTCAACATCATCATCATCATAGGTGTTCATATTGAATATACACCTGTAACATAACACATAATTCAACATTCCACAAGTCATAATCCAACAATCACTAAGAAGTCATAATCCGAAATTCAAGAATAATCCAACGTTTAATAAAAAATCATAATCCAACATTCAATAAACATAAAGTACAAGCAACATTCAATAAACACAAAGTACAAGCAACATTCAACACATAATCTTAATGCAAAGTACAAACCACACAGTCCTAATTCATAGTTTTAGCTCCTTATTGTTCTTTGTTGAACATATATTTTAACCAAGTTAGCTGCACTTCAGGATCTTTCATAGTGGCAAACACCTCTCGCTTCTCTGCACTACAAAATAAACATGTAGCAAACAACCATAACTCGCTAGTGACTCATCAATGAGTTGAATTGCGGAAGTGATAGCGTATGTTGCACAATTGCCTAGTTATAAGCCACCTAGCGAGTTATGGTTGTTTGCTACATGTTTATTTTGTAGTGCAGAGAAGCGAGAGGTGTTTGCCACTATGAAGGATCCTGAAGTGCAGCTAACTTGGTTGCAATATATATTCAACAAAGAACAATAAGGAGCTAAAACTATGAATTAGGACTGTGTGATTTGTACTTTGCATTAATATTATGTGTTGAATGTTGCTTGTACTTTGTGTTTATTGAATGTTGCTTGTACTTTGTGTTTATTGAATGTTGGATTATATGTTGAATGTTGGATTATGATTTCTTATTAAACATTGGATTATTCTTAAATGTCGGATTATGACTTCTTAGTGATTGTTGGATTATGACTTGTGGAATGTTGAATTATGTGTTATATTACAGGTGTATATTCAATATGAACACCTATGATGATGATGATGTTGAGGATTTGGAGGATGGTCTAATTATATGCGCTGTAGCGAAAGCTGTTGAAATATATTATTTAAAATATGTCCACAAAACACCGTGTATGAATTCTTTCCAAACAGCTAATATTTGGTTGATGGAAGTACTACAAGGAAATCATGTACGATGCTATAGAATGTTTAGGATGAACAAAGATGTCTTTTATAGATTATCCAATGACTTGCAAACTAATTATGGATTGAAAGGTTCAAGAAGAATGAGTGCAATTGAAATATTAGGAATGTTCTTGCATATGTTGGGACATGCTGTGAAAAATAGATTAGCGCAAGAGAGATTTTAACATTCTGGTGAAACTCTTAGTAGATATTTTGGTGTTATGTTAGATAACGTATGTAAGATGGCAACAGTTATTATCAAACCGATGAATTCAGAGTTTCATGGCATTCCCCAAGAAATAAGAAGAGATACAAGATACATGCCTTATTTTAAGGTAAAGTTTGACTCGTCTTCTAACTTATTCGCAAACTAGAAGTGTAGGCTGACGGTTATCTTCTATGTTATTATTTTTAGGATTATATTGGTGTTATAGATGGAGTACATGTTAAGGCTTCAATACCACCTCTAGATCAAGTTCCATACATTGATAGGAAATGAATACTGACTCAAAATGTTATGGTTGCATGTAATTTTGACATGCAATTCACATTTACTTGTGCCGAATGGGAAGACACTGCACATGATACAAGAGTTTTTCTATCCGTGCTACGGAATCCAAATTTAAACTTTTCTAAGCCTCCAAATGGTAATCTTCATACTTGTTTTGTATTATTATAACATTTTACGTACTTGCTTTGTATAATTATTACACTACAAAACAAAATTTTCAATTGTCAGGAAAATATTACTTGGTAGATGCGAGGTACCCACAAATGAGAGGTTATTTGGGACCATATAAAGGTGAAAGATATCATCTCCCGGCCTTTCATAGGGGTGCCAAACCAACGGGTCATAAAGAAGTATTCAACCACATGCATTCTTCTCTTAGGAGCATCATTGAGCGAACTTTTGGGATATGGAAGAAAAGATGAGCAATTTTAAGGGATATGCCTAATTACCCGTTCAATAAGCAAGTGAAGATTGTCATTGCTACAATGGCTCTTCATAACTACATACGGAGGTATTATGAACGTGATCGTCATTTTGATGACCTTAGGGACTTTTGTGAAGACAGGGATAGTAGTGATGATGATGATGAAGAATACCAAAATTATGAAGTTAAAGGATCACATGAGATAGAGACATTAAGAAATAGAATAGCAGCAAGTTTGATGAATGCATCTAATTAGACTACCTTCAAGTACATTAACAATATTGTACTAATGAATCCTAGCTATTCAGTCTAAAATATTTCAATTGAAGTAGTTTGTCATATTAATTAATATTTAAGATAAAGTTTATAAATATTATTCTTTTAAAAATAAAGTATATTTCGTAATTCACCTTTATTTGTTAAGCAAATTAAATTAATAGCACATCTAGTATTATACCCTTTTTGGTCATTTCACACAATCACAACTGTTTTACATAAAAGTTTACCAAATACTATCATACTGCTTTTTTTTTTTTTTTTTTTCCTAAAGCACTTTCACAAAAAAAGTTTACCAAATACTATGTTGCTTTATTTCACAGCTGCTTATTCTCACAGCACAGCAGAAGCAGTTTTTTTTCAAAGCATAGTAATATCAAACCAACCCTAAGGACAACAAATAAGCCCAATACAATTGGGGAAAGCCAAAAGCCCAAACAACAAAAGGGCAAAATAGCAAAAATAAAAAAATCCTAAATCCTGTCATGCACAAGCAGGAATCTGCCGTAGCCGTCGACGCAACCACCTCGCCAGCAACCACAAGGGTAGCCGCCGGAAGAAAACCCAACTCCGTGTTGAATTCGACAAAGGTATCGCATCACAAAGTTTTCCAACATGCAACATAGAGAAATCCCCAACCAAATTTCACCACCAAAAGCACCACACCGAAGAAGAAACACCAAATTTGAACCTCCAACACAAGCGCCAACTAGGAGAACCAAAAACCAAAACAAATGGAAAGGGATTAGGGCTAAGGGGGCATCTAAAACACCCTCGCTTTGGGCTAAGCCGCAACACACTTGGCCCCATTTTTCCAGCATGCCGGTCGGGGGCGGAGCTGTGAAAGGAAGGTTTAGATTTGATGGCGAAAATGGGTGAGCTACTCCTACTTTTGAGCAAAGGTTGTGGCAAAGGTTGTGAACGGAAAGACATGTGAGGGGGAGAAATTGAAGAAGATGGAAAAGTGTGAGTGTTTGGGGTTGAAAAATGGGGGCCACGGGACAGGGATTAGGAGTGAAGCCAAAACGGCGAAGAATGCTGGGAAGTGGCGCAGGACGGCGAGAAAACAGGCCATGACCTTAGAAACCAACGGCCATATACACCGGAAGAAAAGGCCAGAGGCATCACTACTAGAAAGAGACGACAAAATGAGAGAAGCAATAACAATGGGTTGCCGCCAACCCCAGCCGAAGGAAGGAGTCAACGGCGTGGAGAAGGAACTGGGTTTGAGAAAAAGAGAGAGCGAGAGAGAGAGAGAGAGAGAGAGAGAGAGAGAGAGAGAGAGAGAGAGAAGGGGGAGAAGCTGCTAGGGTTTTATCAGTTGGAGTCCAGGGAGGATTTTTTTTCTAGTCTACGCCTCCCAACACTGGCGGAGCTTTATGACAACAGGTCCATTAAGAGTAGAACCATTTCATAATATCACGACAATTTACGTTGTCAAATTTTCGACGTGAAATTTTTGAATTCTTGTAACAACAATGCTATAATCACAGTTTGTATTAGTGACGAAATAAGTGTTTTTTCTTAAGCATTGCCAAGTTGATCACATTTCATATGACAATACGTCCATTACAAGCTGATCACACTAAGAACCATCTTTGTGTTTTGTATCATCTTTAGGACCATCTTTTTGTTTTGTATGATCATTTCTAATATCATACATGAGTTCAACAAGTTCAACATGTTTGGTTCTAAAGATGATACAAAACACAAACATGGTCCTTACAGTTTCAGTATATCCCTTGAATCACCCCCTTTTTGCCACTATCAGAAGAATCTATACTAAACTCATTGAAGAAAGTTGAGGTTCCGTCATAAAATTAAGGTTCTGTCATAAAATTAACTGGCATTATGGATTATGGAGAGTGGCATAACTACTTAAAAGCACATGCGAGGTCCCTTTTTTTCGAGTTTTGAGATTACTCTCAAGTTCTCAACACTCATCTAAACTACAAGGAGGAAGATTCGAATTTGGGTGAGAGAAGATAGCACATTGTACTAACCAACCAACTTGACTAAGCCCAAGTATACACTCATTTTATTTTATTTCACTTTCCTATGTTGTGTTTGCTAGCCCAAAGTACATTCTATAGACGCTCTTGGACTAGATGCAATGTAGGCATTGTTTTATCAACATTAGCAATGTTTTGTGGGGAATGATGTTAGTGTCATATGCTGGTAACTCCAATTCTACGTCCACGGATCCTACTAGGAATGGCAGAGTATTGGTCCACTAGAATGCAATGTTTATACAAAATAAGAGTTGAGGTTTTGGCAACACTAAAATAAATTTATCCTATTTCATCACCAACATTAATTTCAAGGATGAGATCCCGAATACACTCAAACTAAATGGAGCGAAATCAAGAACAAGCTTTTCTTAGTAAAGATACTTTCCTAAGAAACGAGCCTCTATTCAGCGAAGACCATTTGATTGTTAAAGTGTAAAAAGGAACGATATTGATGAGTACAATTATTAGATTCACTAAGGAACACATTCAATCCACAGACACCCAAACAAAACATTTAATCAGCTGTTCATAAAATAGTAAATTATGATCAAATAAAATTAAGACCGCTACTGACCTGTCAATTTGTCATTGCTGACAAGTTTATTTCTGCCCAACCAAGAAACTTATCCAGACAAATTATAGCAAGTTTATCATCTTAATCGCCGGTATACTTTGGCTTTCGCTTCTCAGCAAATGCTGATAGGGCTTCCAAGCGATCATTTGTGTTCAACGTCTTTTCATAGCAATGTTCTTCAAGAGCCAAAGCTGAGGTCTTATCTACCTCCAGTCCTTCATCAATAGCTTTTTTTGCCATCCTTATTGCTATTGGACCCTGCTAACACTCTATTTCATAAGTTTGATTGCAACAATTACTTGTAACTTTTTGTTCTTTGCCTAGTATGACTATTTCAAGTTATGCTTTAGTTTACTGTCTTTTTTCCCCTTTTCAGTGCATGTATTAAACATTGTCATTACAGCAAATTTTATGTATAGAGAAGTTTCAGCTATAGACATCCACCTTGATTCAGATGTTAGAATGTAGTTATCATCAGAAGGCGAAAATTCAGTTCATAGAATACTCTCAACTATAACATTCCCCATGAAATAGTATAAAATGAACGCAATACTGGATAAAATAATTCTGTACCTTCTCATTTATATTGCGAGCAACTTCAAGTGCCTTTAGATGAGCTTCACCAGCAGGAACACAGTAATTTACCAAACCTGTAGTGACGTACAATTGCATCAAAAGAAAAAAAATAAGGACAAAAAGAAAGCAGCTACTGAGTAGACATACATCACATACCCATTGACACTGCTTCCCTGCCACCAATCTTCCTACCAGTGAATATGAGTTCCTTTGATATTGCCTTTCCAACCAATCTAGGAAGCCGCTGTGTTCCACCTGCCCTGTCAATGGACGCAATCAAGAGAGTTGATCTGTCACTGGATGAATAATTTCAAAAAAATGGAGATTAAGAAAAATAAATAAAAGCAGAGGGTAAAATAAGAAGTAATCATGCGGAAAGAAGTTCTTCCAGAAAATGTAGACAATATGGACAACATAATTCCATAAACTAAATATCAGTTGGAATAGGAATTAAAATCCCACCCATCTCTTATGTTATAAGAAATTGTTTGCTATGAAACCTGCTTAGAAAAAGTTGAAACAGTACAGAATGTTGGGTTCATCAAACAAGATGCAGGTGATATGCAATTCTTGGGGAGAATATCATAGGTGATAATGTGAACTCATTCCGAAATTTAGCACCTACCCAGGAATGATAGCAAGTCCTGTTTCTGGCAAGCCCATCACTGCATCTTCTCCTAAGCCATTAATGGTGGAAAACAATAAGAGACTTGGCATTATAAAAGTTTAAAAGGATTGATAGTTTAATGACCATAACTGGGTTCGGTATAAATAATTAAAGAAATGGAATTACCACATATCCGAAGATCGCATGATAAAGCCATTTCAAGTCCACCACCCAATGCTGCTCCTTCAATGACAGCAATTGTCGGAATAGAAAGTACCTAAATATTATGAACAGAAGTAAGTGTCAAGAAGAAGAAAATAATTTATGGAGTACTAATGTATAAACAGCAAACAAGGAAGCCTGCATACAAGCATTAAATGATCATACCATGCTAATTAAAAACAGCGTTATGAAATCAAATTAGTAAATATAATTCTGAACATATCCTGGACACTCACGTTTATGTATGAGTGTCTCCTCGTTTACATATTGATATCATATGTCCACCATTATACAACACTCACGTATGTGCATCCAATATCCATCGTTATAGAACACTCACATATACATACCCATACCCACTGTTATACTATGTACCAAACAACAAAAAAGCATTTTAAGAGTGTTGTACAGAATCTGAAACACTTGTGGCAATAAAGATTAACCTCTAAAAATCACGGAGTGTCAAAACCAACTTCTCAATTTCTATCATCTTTCAGGCCGTTTTAATAACAAAACAACAATAGAAAATTAACAACGAAGATTAACCTCTAAAAACGAGAATGTGGCACGCAGCGTGTTGACAAAATCTCGAACTTCAGATGCACTCATCATTTTCCGTTCCTGCCAATCAAATTAAGAGGCAAGAACAATTTGACTAGTGAGCACTATCTTCTCTTGTACATATCACAACTCTTATATGCAAATAATTCATTCAAGCAAATCAAAGTGAATATAAATTTGAAGAATTCTTTGCTAATCCACTGTAAACTCCTTCCAAAACAAAACTTCGATTCAACGAATAAATTAAAAATTCCTACCCTTAAATCTGCTCCAGCACAGAACACCTTGGGAACTTTGCTGCGGATCAACAAAACATTAGCAGAAGAATCCTTACTGACAGCTTCAAAGGTGTTCTGTAAACCTCTCAGCATATCTTTCCCAATTGCATTTCTCACCTCCGGCCTCTCCAACCTAACCTCAATAATTCCTGTTATCAAACAAACAAAACCCAATTCGGTTAATGTTTTCTGGGTCATAGAAAATTGGCATAAACAGAGATAACCCATTTTTTTAAACGTATTTCAGAACCAAAACTTACCGGAATCAAAGTCAGGGAGTCGGTGGAGGGTGACGGTGCGTGACGGTGCTGATTCTAAAATCAGAGTCCGGCGAGTTTGGTAAATCCATTGGTTGGATTGAGGATAGAGTGAATTCTCTGAAAATATAGAGGTTGTGGGGTTGTAATGTTTCAGTGACCTACTTAGGACTCTTAAACCGCCCGCCATTTTTCTTTCAGAAGCTCAAGCTCAAACTCCAGAGCAGCTCTTCTTGCCAATTGATGGGCTGAGAGAAATGAGGGAGTCAGGGAGAAATCCTGTCTAACAAGACGACATTGCACAATAACTCATGCCACCTGTCCAACTTAAACACAGCTAGCCTTCATGCACGCGTGAGTGAGTGCAGAAGAAATTTTTTAAATCACGATGTGCTACGCGTGATTTAAACGTTTGAAATATATTTATATACATAAATTGACAAAAGGAAAGTTAAATATTTGAAATAAATGAATAATCTTAGATCATGCTAGAAGAAATTCCTCATAAACCAATTAAAGCAGTTGAATTTATATAATAAAATCGATCTCTATAAAATTTACAATAAGAATAAAGAAAATAATATTTAATGAACAATTGATTGAATCACATTATTGTTAGCTCATTGTAAGGCTAAACTCACCCTAAATAACATCGTTTGTTAAAAAAAAAAAAAAAACATTATTTGACAACTAATTTAATCACATTATTATTTGCGTGTGAAAGACCTTTTTTATAACCGGCATTACATATCTCTGAAGAAGTTTTGAACGTTTTTAAAAATAGAGAAAATAATATTGAATGAACAACTAATTGAATCACATTATTGCTAGCCCATCTCCTTCTTCTTAGTATAGATCATGTCGTTTGTTAAAAATAATAATAATAATAATAATCATTTAACAACTAATTTAATAACATTATTATCAAGCGAAAGACATTTTTTATAATGAGAGAGAAAGGAAGGCGGGTTGAAAAACAATGAAAATGAGGAGAGAGGGAGAGATGAGGGGTTTTTTTTTGGTTTGGGGGGGGGGGGGGGAACGAATGGGATCCCTTACATTTTTTTTAATCTTACTTTTTTGCCCAACAACCCATTACTTTTTATTTTATTATGACTAAATTTGATATATTATTTTGGGCAGGTTTTGAATTTTTTTGGTTGAGGGGTAGTTTGGTCCAATTATTTTGGGTACATTACATAAAACTACATCAATTATAGGTCGAACGACACTTTCATGCCCCATCTTTTTAAATTGACAATGTCATACATCATCTTACTAATTTGTGCCAATTTCAGACCTCCATTAGTTTTTCTGTTAATTCTCTGTTAAATGCTGACGTGGCCAGAGACAAAACCTACTCACTAATCCAACTGGATTAAAAAATTAAAAATAAAATTATTTTTTTTATATAAAATTGTGGGATCCACCCTCTCTCTCCTCTTTCTCTCGCCTATCTCTCTTTTCTTTCTCTTTGGACACCTACATCCCCAAAACCCTTCCCACCCTTCCCACCTGTCCCCCCCTCAACCTTCCTCCCCCTCACCCTTTCTTCCCCCCGCTCTCGTCTTCTCTACACAACCTTTCCCTCCAAACACTGCCATTTATCCTTTCCATCCAGAAACTCTCCCCTCTAAACCCCCTTGACCTCTCCATCTCCCACCTCTGCTTCGCCACTCTCCCGCCCCACCACCCTCCCTCTCAATCACCTGCCTCGCCATCAACCACAACCTTCTCTATGCCGCATCAGGCTACGAGAAATGCCTCTGGATCCAACATGTCAACGCTGTCATCGACATTGTCGTCAATAGCGCCCTGATTTACTTAGTCTCCTGGGACAAGAGCCTGAAGATTTGGCAGGACTCGAATCTTTGCTGCATCGAACGAGGATGTCGTGAACGCGTTGGGGGTGTCGAACAATGGGACGGTGTACACTGGGTTGACGGATTGTTTGATCTAGGTGTGGTCCAAACCATTCAGGGAAGACGGAAAAGACGGGAGCGGGGTGGGATCTAGGTTAGGTGATTCTGGTTTTGAGTTTAGGGAAGATAGGGAGCAGGGGGAAGAAAGGGTGAGGGGGAGGAAGGTTGGGGATGGGGGACGGGTGAGAAGGGTTTTGGGGATGCAGGTGTCCAGAGAGAGAAATAAGAGAGATAGAGAGAGAGAGAGAGAGAGTGGATGCTGCATTGAGTCGGTCAAGGTGCACGAGGACGTCGTGAACGCGTTGGCAGTGTCGAACGACAGGACAGTGTACACTAGGTCGACGAATTATCGGATCTGGGTGTGGTCTAAAACGTTCGGGGAAGACGGAGAAGACGAGAGTGGGGTGGGATATGGGTTGGGTAGTTCTGGTTTTAAGTTTGGGGAAGACGGGGAGCAAGGGGAAGAAAGGGTGAGGGGGAGGAAGGTTAGGGAGGGGGACAGGTGGGAAGGGTTTTGGGGATGCAGGTGTCCAGAGAGAGAAGCAAGAGAGAAAGAGGGTGGATCCCTCAATTTTATATAAAAAATAATAATTTTATTTTAATTTTTTAATATTTAATTATTTTTTAATCCAGTTGGATTAGTGAGTGGGTCCTATCTCTGGCCACGTCAGCATTTAACAAAGAAATTAACAGAAAAACTGACGAAGGTCTGACATTGGCACGTATGACATTGTCAATTTTAAAAGATGAGGTATGAAAGTGTCGTGACACCAATAGTTAAGGTAGTTTTTTGTCATTTACCCAATTCTTTTTGTCGAATGAGGTGACCCCAAAATTTTGTCTCCATCTGTGAGCCTTTCACTTAATATATAATAGATTTATCCAGGGCAGTGCTATTCGCACGTCCTCTAAACCTTCCACGAATATTTGTTAATTTTTTTTCAATTTATTCGATCCGATGACCTTTAATTGAGAGGGGTGTGTGAGAGGTTAAAAAAAGTGATGATAACATCACCCTGTATCTAGCATGTTCGTCTGTTATATCTGAGTTTGAATTTTATCAAAGATAAATTTTTCTTATACAAGTGTTATTCTACTTAGGTTAATTCAAAACACATCAAGGAAGATTCGAACTTAAATGTGTAGTTAGAAGCATAATTGTTTTAACCAATATCATCTCTCTAGGACCAGCTCTGGCCTATGGCGAGTTGGCCTAAAAACTCGGGGGCACCAAAATTATCAGGGTAGTATGTTCATATATGTTTCTATAAGAGTATAAATTTATAAAATTTGGTTAAAAGATCAAAAAGTTTAACCAAAAGTGGTGATTCCTAAAATTTATAATTATAACGATGAGGTCCTATGTTCAAAACACTAGGTGTGTTATTTACTTTACAATTTTTACGAATTTCTTTTGATAACGTATAAATATTTAAAATTTGGTCAAATGATTAAAAAAATTTAACTAGAAGCGGTGGGTTCTCCATTTAAAATTAACAAGACGTGCTAGGTTCAAAATGTTATGTGCGTTTTTTTTAACTTTCCAATTTTTATTGATTTCCTTTCATAAGAGTATAAACTTATAAGATTTGGTCCAACTATCAAGAAGTTTAACCATATGTGGTGGTTTTTATTGTTTAATTAACATAGGGTCCTGAGTTTGAAATGTTATATGCATTTTTATTCTTTTCAATTTTTATGAATTTCTATTTGGTTAATTTTGTTTTACCTCATGTTGTATTATAATTACTAGCTAGTAGCTATGTGGATTCCAGTTTTTAGACATTCATTTCAATTCAAGCCTTCAACAAAAAGTAATGCTAGGTAGATCAAATTATAAACCAAATTTGTAAATCATTTGACGTGTCACCAATAGTTGGGTTGTTCGCCCATTAAAGCGGTACGTGGGCTGGGTTCAGAACGTCATGAGATAGTTCACGTTAATTAACACTTAAATAATAATCTAATCATCAACAATCACATCATATAGTTTACAAATTTGGTTTAAAATTTTGGTCTGGTCTCCCTAGCACTGGCTTTCAAGAAATTGAAGAATGTATGTCCTTACTCATACTAGGTTTGATTTGATGCTCATTCATTGCTTATGCATATTAATTAAAGATTCAAAAATATGCTTATTTTTTTAGTCGCATATTGACAACGTTAGAAAACAAGAAAAAAACACGTCATGGTTTATATTAAAACACTTTAAAAGTTTAGATAGTTGGGAAACAAAACTTATCATCTCTACTTGTAAGCTCAGGGTTTTTTGGTTCTCTCTCAATAAAAAATAAATTAGTTATCCCGTGTTTCTAAATCATTGAGTTTGAAGCGTTTTTCTAAGTTAAATTTTATCAAAGTCTTACGTGTGAAACAAAAAAAAAAAAAAAAAAAAATCTTATATGAGGTTAGGGCATATTTTGCCATTGCCGTCAACCTCAAAATTCTCAGAATTGGCTCTGATTCTCTCCCAATAAATGAAAATAATTTAATGTATCACTCATATGAAAATGAAAAAGTAATGAGAAAAATTAAAATACAAAAAGGAAAAAAAAAACACAAAAGGAAAACAAAAACTATAATGCAAGGTAAATTGTTAATTTCCTCAAATTCCCTACCTCTTTGACTCAATGTTCTAAAAACTTTTGCCTAAAGCCGCCTAGGTGCTAGGCGACTGGTCACTGCCCCAATTAATGTCCAACGTTTGAAAATTAAAAAAGGGCGCCGAGACCTGCTGAAGCACCTGCCTAGACCGCCTAGGAACCCACCTAGCCCGCCCAAACTCACCAAGGCACCCGTCTAGGTTGTGACTCACTTAGAAGAAAATAGATAACTTTCATTTGAAAAGTTGTGGTATACTTAAATAAACACACATTATACGCTTGTTCCCCATGTTTTCATTATGTTCCAATACTTCATAATATATATGTCATTCTATTTTGTAGTTTTTTTATGAAATTACATATATTTTAAGTATAAACAAACACTTATTTACATGAAATATAGTAGATTTACTTAAATTCGTCTAGGCACTAGGCCCCAGCTCAACGCTCGACTAGCGCCTAGCGTCTTTTAGAACCTTGCTTTGACTCAATATGCCATTGTATTAAAAAGAAAAAAAAACTATAAAAGCCAATAATCTAAAACTACATTAATAAAACGCTCTTTGTCAACTAAAGAGGGTGAAATTATATTTTTGTCTTCTTTCATAACAAAAAAATCAAGGACAGTAACGTAATTTCACAAAATAAAATTTTGCTATTTTTTTAAACATCACCTACATGTAAGTTTATCATCTCTAATTTAAAAAAAAAATAAAAAAAACAACCTCTCTCCCTCCCTCCTCACTCCCACATTGTCTCTCACTTT